CGCGGTGAAAAAGCTATTGGGATATTATTTTTAGATGGAGGTGAGGGATTTTTATAAATGTTTTTTTTCCTTTTTAGATGGAGGTGATGACCCCACACATTTTTTTAAATGAAGAGCTACGCAAAGTGGTGCTCGCTGGTAGGCTGCGTTGATGATTTTTCTTTTCTTTTCTTTTTTACTTCTTTTTCAAGACGGATGTGAGGATTTGTTTTTAATAATGTTTTTCTAGCTGGAGGTGAGGACTCCGTCTATTTTTTAAATGAAAACGTGCGCACAACTTTCTCTCAAGCAGCGCCACAGGGTGGCGCCCCAACCACTAGTCTAATATATTCATAGCATGTGTAGAAGATGTGCATGCATGTGTGTGCATAGGAGTGGTGTGATAGAATGATGATTCCTCCCCTTACAGTGCTTCCGTGCTATGCCACCTACGTACATAAACGCAAGCAGAAGGCTACAGAAGATGACAAAATTGACAAATGACAATTTTGTGGCATGGTACATGCATCTTATAACAATTTTTTGAATTGTTTTCATGACTTCTTGATGGTGGTTCATCCGTGTGTGGGTTGTCTGTGTGCACCTTGTACTCTACAGAAAGATTTTTAGGGCTCTTTTGATTCAAAGAAATTCTCCATAGAGCTTTTTGAGGATTTGAATGCTTAGAAATTTTTCTACGTAGCCTGTTTGATTTGTAGGATTAGAATCCTTAGGGAAAATTCCACTCTAGTTGGGAGGAAAATTTCCATCCACTCCAACCTCTTTGTACAATTAAACACTCTTGATTCGCAGGAATTTCAAAACATAGAAATAGGAAACTGGAGTGGCATGGCCTTGTCCCTGGGTTATGGTGGAGCAAGTGTGCACATGACTTGTTTCTGTGCCAAAAACAAAAAAAATAAATAGTGCCAAAAACAAAAAAAATAAATAGTGCCAAAAACAAAACAAAATAAAGAGTGCCAACAACCCTGATTCTAATGCCAGATTTATTTCCAAGAAAAGATTTTACACCATTACATTTCCATGACAATGATTAAAACACAGTGCATAAATGGGAACTATTATGCCGGCCCTGATTATATCTACATACGAAGTTGCCATTTCAATCCTTTTGCGTTGCCCCAAAAGCAACATAATTTTGATTATGAGCGTGTATTACCTTCCAACCTATGAGACAGACCATGCCAGCACCAACACATCCCAAAATAGGAAAATTCGACAGAACTTAACCAGTGTCACATCCACTAGCCTCAAGTTCTTTACTGCACTGTACTTATATCATCGTATAACTATTTATCATTTGGGACACCCTTTATGTTAACAAATTATCATTAGTCTCTCTTGGAACTTGGAAGTTCCTGTGTTCTTAGCATTTCGACTAAAACTGTGCATCTATTAAAAATCATAGGGATCAAGTACTTCAGAGATATCGTCCCCTTGATTTTACTGAATTGCAATTTACTGATTCTAACTTGCCCGTTAACTCATTAAGTTTTTCAGGCTCCTCATGTAAGCTACTGTAAGATTGTGTGGCAACCAAAGAGATGCTTTATCAAGATAACACAAACAGGTACATGATTAGAACTTACAACAACTAAACTTGAGTGCTGCAAGGAAAATACTTGTACCCATCCCAGGAACTCCTAAAAGTCTATGCTAAAAAAAACATAAAGTGTATGATAGTACACTGTCCTTATCATAAATAAGTTCCCCAGATTTACACTAGTATGCCCACAGCATATTGCTGAATCAAAAAATAATGTTTATAGTGCTCCATAATAGCTAGAACAAGCTTTTGATTACGTAAACAAACACAGTCCAAAAGCAGACACCTTGAATGACCAAAAAGCCCAAAACCCATCATGCGGTCATCGTGACAGGAACCATCTACTGGGCACTTACACAAATAACAGATTCATGTAGAAACAACGCATGGCTTACATGTAAATAGACAAAAGCTAACATAGACATACTCATTGTGTTCATCGTCACAAAAGAAAATAGATGAATTATCAAAATAAAAATATATACCATGTCTTCTCATATCTCATGCAGTAAGTAGTAACTAGTAACAAGAGGACAAAGAGCTAAACTATTGTAAAAATAATCGAAAACTAACATGAGAAGCTATTTGATAGTTTGGCACGAGCAAATGGTGCATATAGTAAAATATGCATCAACCAATAATTGTCAATTCGTAAGGACAATCTTAAATACAAAGTAGAACTTACATCTCTTTAGTTCCATAAAAGTAGACCAGCAACTTCTTTTTAGTTGAAGGAAGCCCCCATTTCTGCGGCTCGCTAATCTGTAACAGTATGGATATCCGTAAATCAAGTGCTCATTATGATTCCTGTGATCTTTCAGTTTCAATTCAAGCAAATATCAGTGCCCCAAAACACAGCTTTTCAGACTAAACAAGCCAGACCAAGGAATGGAACATCACAGCTCCACATAGGCTGCCTATGGCATTAAGGCCCGAATCACCAAGGAGCTAAATTAGTATATCGCAACTTCAACATAGATAACGAGAGCCGTGCTAGGTTGTGGCACATTCATACGTGAAGAGGGTCCAAGGATCTCCCAGTTGTCTTTATACTATATTCTCATGGTCAGGACTCAGGACAGAGAACATGAACAATCGCTGCCAAACCTTCATGGACTTATATAACAATCACATCCAGCTGCTGAGGAGGCCAATTTAAGGAGATCAACCATTCAGGAAGCATATCGGAGCTAATGACATAAATTACCCAATAGCGAAGAACCATTTGAAACATCATATAGTTAATCTGGCACATGTAAAAACTAACAGCATCAGTTAGCTGCACCTATTCTAGTTGCAGAAACATCATAACAACTCGATCTAAACAACAGGTTCTCGTTTACTCATACAAATTAATCCGGAAAAAAGATGGCATTCTCCTTTACCAACCAGGTTACCACCATCTTCCACCCAGCTACCAAAACAGTTGGATAATCACATTAATAGACTATAGTGATTCCATCATAAAGGCAGTACACTTACACGTGATCTCGCAAAATGGAGCGCTAAGATTAATCCCAAGAGAACTATTTATCAACCTCGCCATCATGTCCCGAAACAAAAACAAAAACTAACCAAGCTCGGCTGCCTGACTCCAAACAGATCGAGACTCCATGAAGCCCCCAACTGCCAGATGGGTGAAATCTGAACTGCAACAACCATTCGCTAAACCTCACTAGAATCAAGACTTGGGAAACGCATGAACTCACAGTACCAGATCGTAGTTTGGTGCATCGATTTAGCAGGAACCTCAGGCAAAGAACAAAAGGATCTGCATACGGCTAACCACCAACTGCCTCCATGGTCTCAGAACCCTAGACATGCCAGGCCTCGCTAGGATCGGCACTATTATAGCCACGAAAACAGAAAGGGTCACGAAATCAGCGTTAGCAGCTACCTGTAGACCTCGTTTGTTACTGCGAGTCATGGCGGTACAGTGCAAAGAAACTACTATCTGACCGAACCCTAAGCAAGCTCCCCAACCCACAGCATGATTCGTCGAACCCTAGGTCATCCAGACCACTTGGGGAGCCCCAGATCAGAGAGAAGGAGCGAGGGGGCGCACAACTCACCATGGCTGGCCACGCCGGGTAGCCCTTGAGCTTGGCGAGCACGAGGTCGCCGACCTTCCACTGGGCCGCGGCGGCGGCGGCCGCGGCCGCGGAGGAGGCGCGCTTCTTCCGGGTCGGCGCCATCGCCGACGCCGCTCCCGCCCGCCCAGAACCGGCGGCCAGAGGGCGCGTCCGCTGCGGCTAGCGGGCCAGGGGGCGGCGCTGCCGCCGGGCGCTGGGGCGCGCGGAGGGCCCTCGTATGGGCTCGGTGGCGGCGGCGGCGGCGGCGGGGGGGAGGAGGGGGAGGGGGCCAGGGGGCATGGAGCGCGGCCGGAGTGCGGGGGATGGGGGAGGCGGCTTGGGCTCGGAGATTTTTCTCTTTTTTAATTTGTTTTTCCCTTTTCTGTGTTTCTTTGCCCGTTTCGCTGCTGCCTGCTCTGGTTTCGTGTCTCTGCGGGGTTTGTTTGGTCTGGTTCGGTTTGGTGGTAGGAAGGAGGGCTCGAACACGTGAAAGGGCTTGGTCGGCGATGGGCCTGGGCTCACTGGGCTTTCGTGGGCTTATGAGGTTCTGCACGAATGGTGTGTCGGCAAAGTCATGTCAAAGTCAGAACACTCGCTTGTTCTAAAGTAAAAAAACTTGATCACTCGCCGTAATGACAAAACCTATAGCCGTAAATAAGTAAAGTTTGGAAATAACCCATTTCAATTCCACAGACGCGTACGCAATGTTACAACATGCTACACATACCGCATACACATAATAAATTGCACTCATGAAGTGTGAAATTGACTGGGGCAGCTCGAAAATTCTTCGATGCAAAAATAAAAACCAAAAGAACTCGAAGAAATCTTACTTACGTATGTGTTGGACATGAGGGTCTGAATCCGAGTAGGTGAGCTGGGGCTGGTAGTTCCCATACAAGTGTTTCTCTTTCTTATCTTATGGAAAATAAACTTTATTATTTTACCACACTCAGTAGCATTATGTCATTTACCAATCACTACCAATTTAACTCACCACAACACCTTCTAAGACCGCCATCGGTCATCTCGCACTCGCGGCAATCATAATTCAAGCAGATAGAATCAAACGGATCGACAAACAAACCAATGCGGCAACTCATTCATGCTCAAGGAAAGCCTCTGGCTGGGCCTCAAAAATGAAAAGCGAAAAACTCTCAGCAGTCAGTGCGCGGCTAAATTGTGCTAACAAACATGATGCTATCATTGCACAGTTCGGCATATGGTTCCCTAAATCAGTAAAATCACACATTCTCGCATCACCACCTCCCCTAGAAGCTCGCGGCCGAACCAACGATGCTCCCTTGTCCTCCAGACAACGTCACTTGGGTAACGCAGCACCGGGAATTCACAACATTTGGCAGGTCGTCTTTGTAGAAGGCTCAAACTTTGTCGGATGCGTCGAGAGACGTGCTCTCTGTACTCTTGACCGCGGCCAGCTTCTCAGCCAATCTTTGCTCCAGTGCCCTTTGACCCCTTTCCCTGCAGTGAGATCAACACAACCAAGTGAGATCGAGTACACTACTAGCACATATGCACATATGCATTTCTTGTGACTTGTTCTCGAGTACACTACTACTCCCTCCGTTCCAAAATATAAGTCTTTTTAGATATTCCAATATGGAATACATACGAAGCAAAATGAGTGAATCTACACTCTAGAATATGTCTATATACATCCGTATGTAGTCCATATTGAAATCTCTAGAAAGACTTCTATTTACAAACAGAGGGAGTGGCATATATGCATTTCTTGCAGCAACCGAAGCACCAAATAGGGCTATTAGTTACTGAACCGAAAGACCCAAAACTAAGAATATCGCAATCAGTTCAAACGGGATGGCGTAACAACATAGATTCCACAAGCTCACAAACTGCATGCACAAAGTATAAATAATCCTAAAGGAGTGACTGTCTCAAAACATAAATCCAATATTCACTTGAGCATTGCCTATGTGTGATAATTAACAAAGATACAGAGGGGAAGTACTGAAGGGTTGCAAAGACTAGTTTGTGTGAGCAAGGGTTACTTGAGAACAAGTCACAAAAACTAACCTCCTCCTGTTTGCCTCAGTAGAATCTGAACCCGGCAATGATGACGTTTCCAATGTCTGACCCCGGTCTGCCCTATCAGATCTTCCACAAAGAAGCCTATGGAATATTGTGGCTATTGGATCCAGAACTGGTCTGCATATTTTTAATAAATTAATCAAAATATGAAGGCTATCAAATCCAGAATTTGGCTATGTTTTTATAAATTAGTCAGGAAATTCAACCGTAAACTATCTTAATATTATATAAAGGGGAAGCCGTAATACCTCAGAATTGCAGGGAAGAAACTTGAGAAAGAGAACTCCTCGCTTGGATCCCCTTTCAGGCCTGTCTCTAGCCTCTTTTGGAAGTAACGCAGGTAAATCCAACTCATATAAATGCCAAACAGTATAACTGGGAGGTAAGATACCAAGTCCTTCATGAAGAAGCTTACAACAACGGAGATCAGTGCAATAAGTGATGGGATCCACTGAGTAGGGACAAAAATAAACATGTCAAGTCAGACGATAACATCAAACAGAGTTATTTTATTAACAGTACCAGTTACAGACCTTTCCCTTAATCTTCAGCACGAAAAGATTAAGCTCCAACTCTGGCATAAGTTGCTTGATGCCCACCAGCAATCCTGACAGAACCCCATAGAAACCAGAAAGAGGAGTGTAGCTGAGAAATGAAACATTAAGAAAAACTCGTCAGTTTACCCAATACAGAACATCAAATCAGACGTGCTCGGACACTTCTATAGAAGTAGAATACTTACAGGTAGCTCTCTTGTTGTGTTACGTAGTACACAGCAATAGCAGTTACGAAGACACACATTGAAGTTGAGAAGTTGACAATAAAAACGAACTTTGATAACTCCTTTGTGCCCCATAAAGGCTCTAATAATTTCCCAAATAAAAGAAGACCAATGATGCTGATAATCACCTGTAAGCACATTAACCATGTGAATTTGAGGGGGCTTGATTAAATATGAATGGTTTAAGTCTTATTAAAATAGTGCACTTGGCAGCTGGGGAGCAAGGAAAGGCGAATCTACAGATATGATAGTATATTTTATTTAATATATAGACACCAATATGAAATCTGATCACATGGTCCAGAGCAAACAAAGATAAAGGAGAGCGCTACTCGCTGTCACTCCCAAACAAGCTCAACATGATCCTGAAGTTAAGGCGCATCTGCAGAAAGTATCTCAGGCAAGTACTATAGATAGCTCACTGTACATCCGTGCCATACACTGCATATGTGTTATCATCACTTCTCACAGATATTTCCACTCAATTGATTTTACGACTGTTGCTCAGCATAAATGAAGATTAAACTATGATTTAATTCATGAGAAAAACTTCCCAATCTATAACCAGAGACATTGCAACCATACCCTGATTCACTCCCTATCCAAATTTCACCAAATTAATTACTAGTTTGAGTAAGCGCATTCCTTTTCATAGCTAACCATCTAAAAGCTTTGCCACCTCGTCTACATATTTTGGAGAAGGCAATCTCTCACACAGTGGTAAATATATCTTTACTTCACATACAGTTACTTTAGTTGCCATAGTTCTTACTTATTTTCATTTCAGGGAGATTTAATTTCAGTAATCTTCCATAAAATTAATTAGAGGACACATACCAAGTGCTAAGATGATTACAAAGCATACAAAAGAACAAATCAAAACTCTGTGCCTTGACAAAGATGAGAGGAAGAACTTACCCCTGGAATGGTTTGCTCGACATAGCCAGCAGTTATCAAGTTCCAGGCGAAAGGGATTGTCCTGAAGAAAAAATAAATTAATCAAACAATTCCAAAGAAAATAGAAGCATGATCAAGTATGCCAAACATCTAACATGTTCAAGTTATACAGGGTAACACCTCAAAGGCATGCTTAACATTCATTGCCTTCTTAAGGAAAAACTACGGGTAACTTCATTTCAGAACAAGCAAGATACGTAGCTTTAATTTTGTGTGCACCAGATGTAATAATGAATACAATGATGCAATCTAGAGGTTAGAAAATATACGACTTAATTACTGACTAGAATGCATGGCACCGCACTCACAAACTATCACCACTGTGCCAAAATTGCATTTAAAACTGGCACTCTAGATGGGCGTGCTGACTAGCTGTACTAAAGTGCAACAAAGATCAGTTTGCGTTGGCTACCTTGCAGGGATAAGCGCGAGATAGTTGACGGCCGATGGGAACAGCTGGACCAAGAGGTGCACGAGAAGCAATATGACGGCGAGGCCCTTGCAGAGCTTCGTGTACCCTCTGAAGAAGCTTCCACCCTGCATTGTGATAAACGCGGCATCTGTCAGGACGGCTCAAGATGTACAGTGACAAGTGTTTCACGTGTAATTCAGCTACCAGGCCTTTCCTCAATACAAAACCAAACAAAAATCAGCTACCAGGCCACATCCGAGGCATACAAATCTGTTAAAACTCCGGGCAAGAGCAAACAAATCCACATGAGACCACCAAAGGTGGCTTGGAAACAGCATGATGCAGGTATTTCTTTCTCTGGCATTGGTGCGGACAGGGAGCTGGTGAACGGATTCAGCTATCCAACTCTAGAACCGTTGCCGAGATCCGCGCACCCCAACTCAGCCACGCGTTTACAAACGAAGCGCGTCACAGGCTCGACAAACGCATCGCCCCCGGAATTCCACGGCCAGCATCTCGGCGACGTGCTCCGGGGGAACACGAAAGGGGCGTCGACGGGTGCTAGGGACGCGCCCCGTGCCACACGGCAGGCACGAGAGGCGCCCGGGCCGAAGGATCTAGAGGCGTTCGCCGCACCAGATCTGGAGAGAGGGGGAGGAGGAGGTACGTACCCCGGAGGGGAGCGACGGCGCCGGAGGGGAGACGCTGCTCATCATCGTGGCGGCCGCCGCCCGACGAGATCCGCCGATCCGGAGCGCGCTGTGGCCGCAGTGCGCACGCAGTGAGGGGAGGGGAGAGGGGAGTGGAGCGGGGGGCACGCAAAGGTTTGATGGGTTTGGGGATCGATCGTTAGGTCCGTGGGGTCGACTGGCTTTCGGGGTTCTCTCCCTGCTGCCTCCTCTGGCTTGGCTTGGCTTGGCTCGAACACACTAGTTCGACACGAGATAAATGAGGTTTTTTATGTCAAGACAAGAGAATATCACATGAAAATCAAATTTGAAAAAACTTCATGAAAACCATGTTTGAAAAGTTTTGAAAAAATCTCAAAAGAAAAATCAAGATGTTAAGGCAGTGATGTTTGGTGAGTTTGGAGGTTGATATAGTGCATTCGGTGGTGGCAGTCCTGCATTCAAATACTTCCACCCCTCTTGTTATGATTTGACTCAGCATGGTACTTACAAAGTTGCGATGTATAATATCACCATGCCTCGTGATTTTCTTCTGTGATCAACCTCTCCAGATGCTTGCCTTCCAGTAGTCGATGGTCCTCCTACATGCTTCTGGTACAAAGGTGGTTCATTTGAGGGCTCACACATGACCTCCCGTTCAGACTAGTGCTTCCAAGGATAGGTAATGTTTACATGTAACGTTTACTTTGAGAAGCATGGATCAATCACCTGCATAGGATGATTTCTGTCATTCCTATAACATCACACTACATGTAGCGTTTACTTTGAGCGGCATGGATCAATCACCTGCATAGGATGATTTCTGCTATTCCTATAACATCACACTACATGTAGCTTTACGTTGAGCAGCATGGATCAATCACCTGCATAGGATGATTTCTGCCATTCCTATAACATCACACTACATGTAGGTGTGGAATGCCTGATTTCTGAATTCTTTTGCATGTATATGTTTGTTTGTGTGTGCCTACTACTACGTCACCTACTAGAAATAGTCCATAGTTTTGATTCCTTCTTGACCTCCTTTCTGATCTTCGGGTAGATGTTAACTGGCCATCCATCTAACTTAGTTTATTTGTTGTAGTACTTCTTTTTGTTGTAGTAACTTATCATGATATGCATATGTGTCAACCATCGTGAGAATTGGCAACTCTGCAACCTTCAACATGTATTTCCTGATGTCATAGGAGTCTGGTTAAACCTTAAATTGGAATATAATCAATCTATTGAGCAAAAAATAACACAACAAGAATACCTTACCTGTTGAGCGCCTCACAAATGTTGTTTAGAAGTCCATGTCAACGGTCTCATACTGCACAACTTCCCTCTCTACAGCTTCGCAGTCGCGCCGCTCCCCTTCGGCGATGGTCTTCGGGTTGCTCGCGACTATCGGGACTCCCACGGACTCTGTCAAGCCGTCGTCCATGGCTATGGAGGTCGGGGCAGTGGACGTCGACATCTATGATAATGACGTGGATGCGAAGCAAGGGTGACGACTTGAAGGCGGTTAAGGAAGAACCGGCGTAGGAGCAGGCAGTTGATTTGGTGAAGTTGGTCCATTTGGAGGGATTTGAGATTTTTTTGGGGGGGAGGGGGGTGTGTGGGGGTGGGGGGGGGTGCCTGATTAGGTGGCATTTGTTAGTTCAGGCTGTCCACCCGGACGTTTAGACTAGCCACAGTGAAGAGTAAGTTAGGTGTGGTGTCATGCAAAGCTTCATTTATTAGATTATAGACTTATATTGCATTGAGAGATGTGATGTTACAGTAACTAGCTAAGTTACTAGAACTATCTCTCTCTTCATTAATTCATTGCCACATAGATAAATTTGCTAAGTTGGACTCGAAGTTACTGCTGAAGTTACTCCCACTGTAACTAGTCTTAGGGGCAACCAGCGGTCTAGTTGTACATGCTTTTTTTACATCACTCTTCTTTCATAAATAATCCCCTCTTTATTAAACCACAATCAACGTTGCATCTTGAAATGAGCTCACCAGTAAGCTCGTCTAAGAAAATATTTCAATGATTTCCATTTTTGCTTTCTCATGAGCAATCACATTAGATTCTCTAAAGCAATGAACAAAAGAGGTAGACAGGAATTCACAAGCTATATGATAACAGTCATCCACAATAGCCTCTGCAGGTCCATTGTTCAACAAGTTGAGTGGCTCCAAGCTGTCCAAATTCACAATAAGCTTGTTGCAGCCCGCCCCAAGTAGTAAACCATGCCTGAGAACTATTGCTTCATCTGTAGATGCTCTCAATGGCAAATACTGCAAATTAAGTGAGGATCTACAAAAATTGAACTTTGTGAGAAAACAGTTCAATTCCTAAGTTGAATGCTTAAAACCATTAGCACTCTCACGTAGCAGCAAAACCACACCAAACCACTCGCAAATTTTAGGACTCGTAGGACAAAAGCAAACACAAGAACTTTAAACATACGGATTCAATTCAAATAGATCTCATTGGGTTACATCATTTCAATTCAATACAACTAGTCATGCAGACGACTAGGAATCAACAAGGCTGACCTAGCACAAACCAATTTCTGTGGACACATCCTGCGGTTTCATTTCTGCTTGATCAAACCTTGTACCGGTCAGGTCAGTCAACCCTCGCCGCGCCACCTGTGTGTGTGTGCACTTATGACCACAGGCTGCAAAGTAACAGAGCTTCGCAGCAAATGCAATTGTAGGCCAGTCAGTTGAATATATATCAGCAACAACGAGCTCCAGACTAGCATCACGGCTGAGGATGAAGATGAAGATCAGAATCACAAGACAAACACCGATACACACTACAGCATGCCACATGCATGCTGTTATAGGAACACTTTACAGCACAACAGCCATGGAACTCCTTCTAGGCTGACCTGGGGAGCAGTTAAAGTCTTGGTTTCACACGTCTTCCATTGGCATCGCCACCATCCAGCACTTCGTTGGAATATAAGCAGGGGGGCACGGCGTGGTCTCCTACCTTCGCAACATACTCCAGAAGCTCGGTCAGGAGAGAAGGGCAGCTTTGCTGCAAATAATCGAATCCTTCGGTTTGCATGACAGCTGCACAAGAAAGAACGGTGTGACAGATTAGGATTTCAGATCACATGCTATGGTTCCAAAACCAAGGGTATCAGTTTGCATAGAAAAAGAAAAATACTCATCGCTTTTTCATATATTCAAGATGCTTGTGGCTTGGTTGGTAGTAAATACATACTGCAAGGTCAAGGGTACAACTAATAGGTCAGACACTAGCAAAAGGTTCACGCAGCATACCATTGACCAATAAGCAGCGGCAAAGAGTTCATAGCCTGACAGACTCTCGAAAAATTTAAGTACTACTCCCTCCGTTCCTAAATATAATAAGTCTTTCTAGAGATTCCAATATGGACGTTTAGATCACTAAAGTAGTGATCTAATGTAAGATCGTTTAGAGTAAACGATCTTATATTGGTTCACGGAGGGAGTATATTGGAACAACTTGTTTTGCATCAGCGGAACTCATGTTCACAACTTCACATGGAAGACCATAAAAGCCATAGCCTTGTGGTATACCACTAAATTAATCAAAGAGCAAATCTAGGCTACTCGTGTCAAAAGCCTCAACAAATTCATGTTGCAGCCTATGTGATCCTGAGTACACTGATGGATGTTTACTGACACTCCCATTTCAGTGTTCATGCAGTATGTATGCCGGAGTGGTCATGGGATCTGATAGGCAACTCAGTTGTAGTACTTAGAATTGTAGTACTCCCTCCATCCCATAATATAAGAGCGTTTTTTACACTAGTGTAGTGTCAAAAACGCTCTTATATCATGGGACGGAGGGAGTACTTCTTGGCATTGTAGTTCAACATATATGCTAACAAATTCTATAGCAACAAGTCGGATATCGCCAAATTCTATAGCAAAACATATTCTCAGGCTTAAATTCAGAAGAATGCTGGCTACCTTTCAAATTTTCCGGCGAGGCCACGAATTTCAAGCAAACAGTTTTTAGCTGGTGGCAATGGTGCTGTTCAGCCAGTGCCAAAGTATTTGCAACTGTGTTTATCGCAACGTCTTCACATAGCTTGAGTTCAGAAAGCAGCTTTAGTCTCTCCAATGCATACCGATCAGCAGCTGCAAGCAAATGCTGAGCCATCAAAGTGGAAACCCAAGTCGTATTTAGACCAGTAAGCTCTTCTATATTGGGCAACTCATCCCAATACATAAAATGGAGCAAGGCCTGCAAAGTAGAATATGATGCTTACCAAGTCAGCTCAAGTGATAGAAGGTTTCAAAAGGCAAAGAAAATGGATGAACCATATTTCTGCACAGCTAAGAGAATGCAAGTGTTTATAGTAAAAAGATAGAAGACCAAGTTAAACTTGATGAACTAGAGCCTCGAACTACGCTGATTACAGCTTAGAGTGCAGCTAGTAGCTCAAAACTATTATAGTTCCTAGCAGCATATTCCATCAAACTGATTGCCCTAAAAATTATGGAGCAAAAACAGCATATCTGCACTGCGTTATCCTTTACCGGATTTGTCAGGTACTATAAATAGTTCACAGAACAAAGGAAAAACCTTTAACTTGCTTGAAATCCAAAAATGAAATCGTGACAGTTATACTGAAACTCCCATTTCCAGATGTTACGGTATAATATTATGCACCAAGGCACTAAAGTTATGTTTCGAGCAGGTTGTTTTTACAAAAAGTAACTAACTTACTTCCAATTCAATAATAATGAGATAAAAAAAAGGTTGCAAGGTGAAAGTGTCAAGACTTTATGGCAGTAAAAGACGACATGGTAGTAGTTAATTAGGCAGGAACAGACAGCATGGAAGATAAATAAAATGAACAGAAGAAGCCATGTAAAACCTTGAACACTGGAGCCTCCATGTCTTCAATCTTTATGCACTTCATGTTTTTATCCTTCATGGGACCAAAGAGCTGTGCCCTAAAAACTGGTGATCGGGCTGCAAGAACCACCTTGTGAGCAGGAAACATCTCTTCATCAACTTCAAATGTTATGTCAGTTCTCTT